CAGAGAGAGAGAGAGAGAGAGAGAGAGAGAGAGAGAGAGAGAGAGAAGAGGGGGGTGAGCGAGAGAGAAAGAGAGAGAAAGACAGAGAGAGAGAGAAAGAGAACGGGGTTAGATATAATACCATAATAATTATATATTGTATATGGCAATGTATATCGAGATATATGCAGAGACACCATACACACACACACACACACACACGCACGCACACATTTTTATACTTGATAGTCTCTGAGGTACAAAAGAAACAAGTGGTGTATTTTCCACTTACAGATATCAACTTTTTCACGTTATAATAATAAAATATATTTGGAGAAATTAGTCAGGTTTCTTGTTTGTTTGATTGTTTGGTTTTCTATTGTTAGTATTTGTTCGTTTGTCTGTTGTTTTCGGGGTTGTTGTTGTTGTTGGTGGTGGGTTGTTTTTTTTATGGGGAGGGGTGGTGATTAATGTTTGCTTACTCCCAATGTAATATTTTGCTATGGAGAACAACAATAAAGACAGAGACTAGGGGTGTGGAGGGTTAGGCGTCTAGAAAACAAGACAAGCTTTCGTCCAGGTTATTGTGTTGCCACCGTGCTCACGTAAAACAAAGCATGGTACTACACAGTGTTGTGCAGATTTGAAAAAAAAATGAATGTGAGGCAGCGTGGTTGAATCAGGCTCTCGTCAATTTTTGGGCATATTGAGTTATTGATATCATCTTAAACCTTATTCACTTGTCTTTATTTGGATGGAAAAAATATCGTTTTATCTTGAATACAAGTCGAGATATTGGCGAAAAAAGGAGTTGGGGGTCACCTGTTTTCAGAGGTAAAAATAGTGAGAAAATGGCCGCCAAAGATTAGTTATTTCCTTAGCCTGAGAGTCCGTGGTAACTGAAAATTTACATTTTTGTGCCTTTTATCAACGATTTTCAGAGGAATCCACACAGAAGTGGGTTCTTTAATGGGCGTGAAAGGTGTTGAGCCAAAAAACAAAAATTTGATAAAAATTTACAAACCTGCGGAAAAATGCAAGTTTCTTCACTTTGATTATTTTGACGATAGCCTGATTCCACCACGCTGCCTCACAAATATTATTTGTGTAGCGCATATCCCCGCTCGAAAGCAAGCACTATCCGCTTTACGCTATATAATTACCCTAGCGGACCATGCAACCTTCTTATATCTCAGCATCCGGGGAAGTATTGGGCGAAAACATGGAGAATGCGGAAACTTCAGCGGCTGAAGATTGACGCCCTCAGGCGCCAGTTGTAGGTGTCTGTTAGACTCAACATAGAAGACGCCTATTGTCGCTCCTTTTAAATCTCGAGCTTGCATAGATCTAATCTAGATATATCTAGTTCTTTCTCAGGCCTCGGCTCTTCAAATTCTCACACTAAACTGACACAGAGTAAGGCCTCATATCTAGATCTAAGAAAAACCAACTACACCACAAACAGCTGGTATTCCCAGGTAATGATGAAGCATTTATTTAGGGAAGCGGATGGAGGGGGGGGGGGCACGAATGTCCTAAAATATAGCTTAAAATTTAATTCTGCGCGGTTGCCCCCCTAATTTTACGAAGCTGATTTTCAAAAATGTAATTAGTTTTTGTCCACGCGAAGCACCAGCTCTGAAATAACCATTTGAAATTGTCACCAATCCAGTCGTGTGACGTCACGCAAACTACAGAACCCGAGTTGGCGACTGCAAGACGGCATTGGGTGTTGACAGCGAGGCGCCCTTCCCAGTTTTTTCGGCGTAATAAGAATGTAGTTATTGGATTCCGATTTAGCCGACCGTGCCGATCGGTGCTTTAAGCTGCCTGCAGTCTGCCAGCTCTGTGTATGGCAAGTTGGAAATCAGAAGGGGAGTTTTATACCTATGAGCACTTACTGAGTCAGTCTCTGAAACTGGCGTTCTCTTTGTCTTCGCCCTTACACTGCAAGCTGCCGATTAAGCGTTCAAATACATACAAACTGACAGACTAACTTTATACCTTTTTGCAACTTATCATAGGGTCATTGTAGGGTCGTAATGGCGTCATGCCAGAAAGAAACTGTTAGCTTATTGGTAAACAAAGACAAATCCAAGGTAGGAAGGAAGTAGAAAGTTACTTTCACCCTCCCCCCC